TGGACGTCACTTGGACGTCACTTTTTTGTTTCCAAAAAAAAAAAAAAAAAAATTTCAAAAGAGGTCACTAGACGTCACTTTGAGGTTACTTGGACGTCACTTTGAGGTCACTTGAGATCACCTGGAGGTTGCTTGGTCTTCACTTTGAGGTCACTTGGACGTCACTTAGACGTCACTTGGACGTCACTTTTTTTCCCAAAAATTGTTTTTTCTATTTTTCCAAAAAAAAAATTCTAAAAAAAAAAAGATTTTTTCAAAAGAGGACACAGACGTCACTTGGAGGTCACTTGGATGTCACTTGGACATCACTTAGACGTCACTTTGAGGTCACTTGAGATCACCTGGAGGTTGCTTGGTCTTCACTTTGAGGTCACTTGGACGTCACTTAGACGTCACTTGGACGTCACTTTTTTTCCCAAAAATTGTTTTTTCTATTTTTCCAAAAAAAAAAAAAAAATTAAAAAAAAAACATTTTAAAAAAAAAAGGTTAAAAAAAAAAAATTTTTCTAAAAAAAAAAAATTCTAAAAACAATTTCAAAAGAGCTTAGACGTCACTTGGAGCTCACTTGGTCTACACTTTGAGGTCACTTGGACGTCACTTTGAGGTCACCTGGAGGTTGCTTGGACTTCACTCTGAGGTCACTTGGAGGTCACTTGGACGTCACTTAGACATCACTTTTTTTTTCAACATTTTTTTTCTTTTTCCAAAAAAAAATTTCAAAAAAAATATTTTCAAAAAAAAAAATATTTTCAAAAAAAAAAATTTTTCTAGGAAAAAAAATTTCTAAAAAAAAAAAGAAATTTCTAATAATGAAAAAAAATTCTAAAAAAAAAAATCTTTCAAGAGGTCACAGACGTCACTTGGAGGTCACTTGATCTTCACTTGGTCTTCACTTTAAGGTCACTTAGAGGTCGCTTGGACGTCACTTAGAGGTCGCTTGGATGTCACTTGGATGTCACTTTTTTTTTTCCAAAAAATTTTTTTTTCTATTTTTCAAAAAAAAATTAAAAAAAAAAAAAATTTTTCTAAAAAAAAAAAAATTCTAAAAAAAAAAAAAAATTCTTAGTATAAAATGAAATTCTAAAAAAAAAAAAAAATTTTCCAAAGAGGTCACAGACGTCACTTGGAGGAAAATTAAAAAAAAAATTTAACTTTTCAAAAAAACATTTTTTAAGACATTTTGATAATTATTTTTTTAACAATTATTAGAAAAATACTGGGAAAATTTTTTTCTGGAAAATTTAAAAAAAAAACATTTTGGGAAACTTTTTGAAAAAACATTTTTAGAGTTTTTTTTTTAATTCTTTGAAAAAAACTTTTAAAAAAACTTTTTAAGACAACATTTAAGTCGAAACGCTGAAGTCCAAGTGACATCACGAGTGGTTGATGTGTTCGATCGACAGCACTTACTGGATGCACATTTATCGAACAACAAGTGTTAACAAGTGTTAAAAACGTTAAAATTATAAATAAAAATACCTGACCATTAACTGACAGTTTTTTTTAATTAACAATGAAAATTTCTTTGCTCACCACTTACTTTTGACCAAAGTACAAGAAGTAACAAATAATAAAAACAAAACATAAAAACCAAGAACTTTTGATTCGTCACTCGTGCAAGTTGAACATGTAAGAAAAAATAAAACGTAAAAACTTTGGAACGTAAGCATAAAACTTCCTTGGAGTGGAGTCCATCCAAAACAACAGATTTAAATTAAAAAATACGAGTTGACATTTACAACAATGCAATTCACAGCAAAAGACAATTCTTGTTTTTTTTTTTGTTTGTTTGTTTTTTTGTCAAGTTTTTCAAGTCACCTCACTTCAACATGGTGATATACACTCTATGCACACAATGGACTAAAGCAGTCTTAGTTTTTGTTATTGTATCCAAAACACTGCTGCGAACCTTCCAGTGATGTATGGTCTGATCATTAAAACCTATTGTTCCAGTGTCGACGGCTCATCCCTGCGATTGTTTTTCAATCTCTTCTTTTCTTCAGGATGAGGTCTTTGTGGGATTTCCAGAGGTTTTTTTCTTTTACATCGTTAATGTCCGTGGCTACACAAAAAGTCTGCCGTTGTGTTGATGTTGTTTGTATCAAAGTGCTTAGTTGTTTCCAGTGTGTCAACGTAACTGTAACAAAAGTTTTTTTAGGTTTTTTATTGTAATATTTATGGGTTGCCAGAAATGATCAGTAGAGGGCATAATTCCTTTCAGCACAGTTTTCAGTTTCATCATCAGCACAATGAAAAAATAAAAGCATATAAACAAAGTATTCTACCATGGAGACATGTAGTTTGAACAGCAGCATATATTCATCTATGGTCCACTAAATGAGTTATTTTAATCCCACAAACTCTGATTAGCCTTTTATACATATACATACGTGTGTGTGTGTATATATAATTTTTTTATATATTTATATAAATAAAAAAAATTATGTATTTATAATATTTTACAGATAACCTACATATCTCCTGTAGAAGAAATACACAGTACGTGAAGCTTGTACAAGTAAAAGTTTAGAAATTTACTTCAATAGTTTTATAGAGTGTTTTAGCACCATCTGTTGGTGCCTACGCGACATAGAAGGGAGCGGGCTTAAAGGAGGAGGGCGGGGCTTTTTCTTGGCAGTGCGTGTGGTCAATCGTTACAGTATTTGTTCTTCGGTTGTCAGTGCGGCCAGACGACTTGATCGTTGCTCAGAACTGCACCTGCAGAGTGACAACAAGTCGAAGTTTTTGAAGGAATGTTAATAATCAAGGGAAACAGAGTTGTTTAGCCGTTTTGGGCCAAATATTAATAATTGATAAAACAAAACTTACAAAAATCATCTCTACCCTCATGTAAATATTTTTTAACAATTGTTTTACTCTAAGCTACTTCTGAGATCATTCGCTATTTTTAATTCCATATTTGTTGCTAGCACTTGTATACTTCAGCTAAATTAGCTAGCTTAGGTATGCTACACAGATTTTTTTTTACCATTAGCTTCTATAAAATACAACTTCTGGTTAATTCTTTAATGTTTTGGCATTTGATTTTGTTTGATTTTTTTTTTTTTTGATGCTATATCAGTAGTCCTTAACCATAGGGCTGTGGCCCAAATGTGGGCCACAGCCAGGGACAGAGCCACCTAGTGGACTACAAGAAAACTTTCAGTTATGCACTCTAATGGACAAGAAGACTGTCTTCTTCTCTACATATTTTTTTAAAAATTCAACATACATCATATGGACCCCACACCAAAAGACTACATTTTTGTGTAGGTACAATCCTATAATTTTTTGTTTGTTGCTTAGGATGTTGCCATTTGTAGTTAATGGTTTAGAATCGTTTGACTGGAGAGACAGATATAATTATGGTTTCATGTTTTTGAAGCAGTCTTTAGGAGAATCTCTTGTGTGACGTTACATACAGCGTACAGTTAAAGCTCTCTCTCCTCCACCTCTCAGCAGGAGTAGGTTCTCACCGAGGAACTGTCCAGACGCTGCACCGCCGAGGGCCCGACTGAAGGGGGAGACAGTGAGACAGAGAAGCAGTGTGAGACTTGGTAACTGAGGAGACAGAATCATAGGAAGCCTCGGTCCAGGTGTGAATGACTGAGAGGACAAAGGATGCACTTTGACCTTCAGAAGAGGAAGCTACTGATCACCAGTGTTGGGCATGTTACTTTTAAAGTAATTAGTTATAGCTACTAGTTACTTCTCACAAAAAGTAACTGAGTTAGTAACTGAATTACTAAACGATAAAAGTAACTGCTAACCAGAGAACATAACTATTGTGTTGCTTTTTTTAAAATTTAAATATGTCTAAGGATTAGAATTTTCTAAGTGGGTTTCACAAGCCCTAACTGTACAGACAGGTACTTCCAAAGACTTTTATTTAATATTTCTTGCACCTTAACAGACCACAACTGGTAAACATACCGTATTTTCTTCATAACTAAAATACATTTAAAATATATGAATTACTTTTACTCTCTGCATTTGTATGAAAATATGCAGCTCTGTCCTTTTTAATGGTTAAAATTGAGAAAAAAAATACTTTTTTAGTACTTCAACCAATAACAACAGTGATATACTAGACTAATAAGTTCCTAAAAAAGTCACTCACTGGCCTTAAAAGTTATGTCCAGTTTTGTGGTTAAAATTCTATAAAAAAAAAAAGCTTTTTGGTTCGGCCAACCTTTGATCACAGTAAAATTCTATAATAATAAGTTCCTGAAAAGTCTTCCAAAAAGTTTCTCAAAAATGAAAAAAAAAACATGCATATATATATATATGCAGGTTACTGAAGAAATGACGCAGTCAGAAACGCTGTTTATTTTAATGCTGTTACTCCCATCACTGCTGATCACACACTCAAAGGAAGGGGTTAGTTTTTGAGTGAAAACCTCCAGATACTGGACCGTTCTGGACTTCAGGAGATCAGAGCGGCAGAACAGAAACAGAGGGACATGGAAGGCCGTTTCAGAACAACACTGGCACAAATCTGTCCAACCACTGTCATTAATCAGAATTTGATTATCCAATTATCAGGAGAAAGGGGACCTGATTTTAAGGATTATTTTAGATTACAACACCTTTTTTAACAATTTTTTTTCTTGAATTTGGAAACAACAGTTGACCGAAACATCTCCGTTCAAGATCTTAATTTAAACCGCAAACCAAGTGCTCTTCCTTACTGTCATATATATATATATATATATATATATATATGTATGTATAAATATACATATATATATATATGTATCATCAGATCATATATCAAATATCATCAAATGTATTAAAAACCGGTATCATCTTTACAGGAAAGGTTTAAAAAAATGTGGTGAAAACTACAAAAATAATTCAGACACCAGAGAACGTGCGTGAACCTAAAATGATCCTTGGTTGACGGTGGATTTCAGCCAGTGTTGTTTTAACCACAGAGGGAACAAAGAATGACACAAACTTTCAGTTTGAGTTAATAACACCAGACATGTCCTATGTTAATGTTAAAGTTCCAGAACCTTCACTGAGACACATCTGACCTTGAAACCAGTCCAAATAATACATGTCGTCAGGACTGTCGTCCATGGCCTCATGGAGGACTGCAGAGCAGCCGTCACAGAGAAGAACAAGAGACAAAGGTCACAAACAGAGAGAGTGGAGCCCAAAGTCCCCGTTTGTAGGTATGGGAACTCACCTTCGGGGGGCAGCCTTCGGGAATGACCAGACGTCGTAGTGAGGCGGAATCCAGCGGGGAGCGTCTCTGCCGATCCTGGCATCATACTGATACCATGGACGTCTCTCGGAGGGAACTGTCTCCTCCAGGAAGGACCTCGGAAATCTTTGTCGTCACACTGGCAAAAGACAATTCAATGTTTCACTTTTAAAATAAATGATACTTGAAGTGTAAGCTGTGCCACTAGGTTTCTTTGTTTTTTACATGACCTTCACAAAAACAAAAACCAATAGTGGTTACTCCACTACACAATTAATACATTCATACTGCAATTTAGCACCCCTGCTGTGGAGACCAGAGAACATCATGCTCTGTTCAGCAACACTTTCTCACTCAAACAAATTAGAGATAGATTCTTTAATTAACGTTCAAGGATTTGATTACGTACATAATGTCGTGAAAATTCTACTGCGTAAAGACCGGATATATATGAGCAGTGACGGTTAAATGACTGACTGACAGAACCTGGGTTTGCTCACCTCGTCCAGCCTCCTGTCGGTGCCCAGGGCCAGCAGGTTGTTGTACTCCCTCTCCAGAATCTGACGTGCCTGAGGAGAGCCAGGAAAAGGAGCTAATTCAGAGGCGTTATTAGAGCAGCAGCTATTTTCAGCAGCAGGTTAGCAGCCACAGCTGACACGTCACAATACTTTTTTTATTTTTAACACCGCATTTGCATTTCATCCCAGTTTAGACAGACAGTGAACATTTCACAGGGCAGCCTGCCACACTGACAGTTGGCAAATCTACATGTTCTGATTCAGACTTTATGGTTTTGGTTTTTTTTAGCAGTTCCTACGTACACCTCTATTTTAGGACAGGAGGTGGTGACGGACTTTATTTCTGCTCAGATTTAGCATTACTAAATTTGGAGAGTCTCTTGTCTTTTTTGTAATTGTTCTGAAGCAAAAAAGGGTATTCAGTCTGTATTTTAATACTGGAGTATTTAAGGCATATCCTGTGAAAACTTCAAGAAAAACTTTAGTGTGAAAAAACCTAGCATTGGTTTACCTTTAACTTATATCAATAGCTTTTTGCAACTTTAAAGTACTTTTAAGTTAATGTTAGGTTTTTCTTATATGTTATTGTATTCTTATACAGATATTTAATTAATTAATCGTTTTAATTTCAACTACTTCAGATACATTTTTGCTAAAGTTTTGCTAACTTTGTTTTATTTTTGTTGACCAAATGTTGGCTAATTTAAAACAATGGACTATTTGCATACCTCAATCTTAATCTAATTTTAGGCTAACTTTTCCCATTTTTGTTTACTTTTAGCCAATATTTGGCTTTTTCTGGGCTTTATCTTATCAGCTTTATCTTTTTTGTGACTAATTTCAAGCTATTACTAAACTAACTTTAGCCGACTTCTTGGCCAAAGTCAAGGTATTTTATATTAATATATTTATAGCTAAACCAGACTAAGTTTATCTATATTGCTATTGTTTTTTTGCTAAAATACAGTGATATTTCCTGGCTAAAGTTTAATTTTCTTAGATTTTAAATTTTAGCTTTCTAGTCAATTATTTATCACTCAGTGTTCAGCCATTTCTGATTGAATTCACAAAATTTAACCTTTCTAAGTTAATAATCCATTACAGTGTTGTTGTTGTTGTTGTACCTGAGTGTTTTGTGTGGGGATCTGGAGGAGCAAAGCCAAACTGCTGTAATCAAAGTTATCATCCAGAGCCACCAGGGCTCCATGAACACCGCTCTCCAGGAGAATGTTGGCGTAGTCCCTCAGACCAATGCTCTGCACCCAACGGATCACCCGCTCGTTACTCCACACTAACACATCTACACGCAAAACGTAGAAATAAATATTTTTAGTTCTACAAAAAAAAAAAAAAATCGGACAAAGTGAGAAAGTCACGTGGTGTTTTCTGTTTCTACTTGCCCCTCATCTCATGCTGACTGTGCTCTCGGCGTCTCTCCAGTTCCTTCCTGTCGTAGTTGAGCTTCTTTAGGCCCATGATGCCGTACTGTAAACTTGTTCTAGTGTTATCAGAGTGAATCAAGATATCAAGATTATCGTAAAGACTACCAAAAATATAAGATAAAAATATCAAAACCTAATATATAAAACCTAATTAACAAACAAAACACATGTTCTAGTAAGAATAGCTAAAAGTTAGCCTAGCAAAAGGTCATCTATCTCTGCAATAAAAATGCTAATACAACTAATACAAAAATTAGTCTGAGTACCTGTGAAAGCTGTCGACCATTTTGAGGTGAACCCTCAGGTCCTTTTTTGTGAGATGGTCCAGCATTCGAGCGTCCACCAGACACTCCATGAAGTAGCTGCGGTACTGAGGTAGACCTAAACTCGGCAGCCACTCGTTTCCTATCCACTCATGGTTCATGTCCCCGTACGCCAGAGTCTAAAAGAAAAAAGATCAGTCAACACTGAGTCTTCGAATTCAGGAAAATATCACTTCCATCTGTTAAGATAAAGTGACATTCAGTTTTCCTTACCTGAGCCCAGCTGCCTTCTTCAGAGTCTGACTTCTGAGGAAAACAAAACAACACATTTTTAAATCATTTTTAGAAAATCATAAACTGCAAGTTAAAATAGGAACTACAGTAGTTTGACTGTTTCCAACGACTAGTGTGTATTCTGAGATTCCTGGTTTGCAAGCTACCACTAGGGGTTGTGTGAGATAAAAAATGTGATGGTGGTTTTTCAAGTGGGATTTTTCTATTTTTGGGCTAGGGATAATAAAACCTTTTGTGTTTTTTTATTTTAGCAATTTTGTGGTATTTAGCGTTACTGTATACTGTATTTTGAATACAGTCAAACTTTTTTTTAGTATTTTTATGCTATTTTTGTTAACTACCAGTTCATTTATAACTCATTTATGTCTATTTATTACACAGGTACTCACTTTGTTTGCTGTTATTAGGCTTTGTTTATAATTATTGTGGATGGAGGCTGCAAATCTGGCTAACTTCTTGCTGCTTTTGGTTAATTTTATTTGGTTATTTTTAATACACATAAGAGTTAATGATGAAAACGATCAAATATATAAATAGAACTTAGTCCAAAAATCATCGAAGATCATTCAGCTTTAATCAGCCGTTACAGTCATGTTTCATGCATTAAAGAAGATACACAGATACACAGACAAACTCAAAGAAGGCGTACTAAAAAACACATAGGATGAAAGAAAAATGTTTTAAGGCAAATTAGTGTATTTTTAGTCATTTTTGAGAAACTTTGTTTTTCAGATATTTGTTCAGTAACTTATTGGTATAGGATTTTATTGTGATCAAAAGTTGACGTTCCAAAAAAGTAGACTTTTTCGGAATTTTAAGAAAAGAAATGGACATAGCTAAGTATTTTAAGGCAAATTAGTGTATTTTTAGTCATTTTTGAGAAACTTTGTTTTCCAGATATTTGTTCAGGAACTTATTGGTATAGGATTTTATTGTGATCAAAAGTTGGTTTACCAGAGTCTGGCAGGCCTATGTTCCCAAGACACATACACACGCACACACACAAACACACACCCAACCAAACACACACACATACACGGAAATGCACAATGACACACACACACACAGACACACACACAGACACACACACACAGACACACACACACAGACGACACGTGAGAAATTAGAGATGGTGAGAGGGATAAAGGAAACACAGGGGACTGACCGTTTTGGAGGGAGCCGCCAGGGTCTCCATCTCCTCGTGGGTCACCCACACATTGCCTGACGGCTAACGATAGGGCGGCGCCACAGAGAGAAAGCGGTTGGAAGCAGGAGGAGCAGCAGCAGCAGGAGGAGGAGGAAGGTTGTTGGTAGTAGAGGTCCAGTAGGAGGAGGAAGCAGTGTTAAAGAAGAAGAGCAGCACCACTGTAAGCCAATAGTGTTATAGCATCACAGTCAGATGATGAACTGGCCCCCCAAAACCATCAGGGGGCGTCAGCTGACACGCACAGTGGAAAAACACCTGACACGGTGGACTGTAAACACCCTAACAACGTAAGAGAATCTGCAGACGTGTTAATAATCTATAATATTTTATATTTTGGACCTGGTTGTTGTCCAGTTTACCAATTTGAACCAAGATAAAAATTCAAAATTTTGAAAAAAAAATCATAAGTTTTCTGGATAAAGGTTCAAACACTATGCCTGGGTGTCAAGTGTTTGTGTGTTGACTTTTAATTTTTTGTTAAAACCTCTTCATTTCCTGTGCGTTGGGGGTGTCCTTACACCCAGGTTACAGTGAGATTAACACGACTGAACTGACTCTTTCCGCTCCGTCTTCTCCTGGACATTATGTCCTTCTGTGTTTAAAGGCTCAGTTAAACCTCCTCTGTTGCTGCACACAGGGGTTTAACTGTGAGATCTGCTGGGCTTCTGTCACAGCCACAGTTTGTGATCAGAACCATAGGCTCTCTAAAGAAAACTTGATGTGGTGCGGAGGTGGAGTTGAGTGAGGGGAGGGTAAAGTTCGAGACACAGCGGAGGGCGAAAGTGAAGTGGTGCAGGACGGAGGAGAAGTGGAGTTATTATTACAGGAGAACAGGACAGAAACCTTTGACTTAGAACCGCAGCCAGGATCAGAACACATTTGGCGAAAAATACATCTGAAATCAACCTTATAGATTTAAATTAGTCCCAGAAAATATCAAGTTGAGTAAATACCCTCAAAAAATTTAAGTTTGTAAAAATTCTACCAAATACAAATACATTTTCTCACAAAAAGTTTCTCTGATCATACCATACTGAAAAATTTAGAACAAATAATAAAAAATAACTTTAAATATGAAAATATAAATATAAATATACTAAAATAGCTTGGAGTTATTTAAACACATCACATGCTAAAGTTATGTTTATTTATTAAAATACTTAATTTCTAGGATATAACATTTTGGCTTCAACTTATTTAAAAATTTTGACAAGTATTGTAATTGCCAAAAAATGGTCCAATGGTCTAATCTTAAAAAAAAAAAACCTCAGTTGAAATGTTAATTTTCTCCCCTTGGCTACACCATTACATAGTTCACAGTAATAAACTTTGTAAAACTCAACACTGCGCAGCTTGCTGTGTCAGTTTGATATATTATGGTCTGTACTGTTTGTGGAGCCTCAGTACAAAAGCACATTAGGCCTAGTTCTTAGGCCTAGTAGTTAGGGACCGTAAGCAGTAGAACATGAAGAGTTGTGTGGAAAAATAAAAAGTTTATCATCATTATTATTATCATCACTATTATTAAATAATAATAATAATAATAATAACAATAATAACAATAATAATAATAATAATGCTATAGAAATGGTTGTCAATACTTGTGATTTTTTTCCTTTTGTTTTTATAGAATGGTAGATTAGCTTAGCATCAAGAAATAGGAAATTCTGCTGATACAAATAAAAATATTTTTGATATTTTTTGTATAACTAAAATTTCTTCAAAAACCAAAAAAAAAAAAAAAGATTCTATAGTGCTCTTTAAATGCTTTTTTCAAGTCCAAAAATCCTCCTCTGCATCCTATTCCCCACAATCCCCCATGTGACTCACTGTTCTGGAGGTGGGTGGTGCTGAAGGGCTGGTGAGAGACACCATTTCTTGGATGGCCAGACGGAGTTTGAGCCGGTGCAGGGGGTTGCTGATGCCGATCTCCCTCTGGATCTCAGTGTCGGAGAGTGCAGACATGATGGCGCCGCTCTTCACGTTGGCCCGACAAGCCGCCACGTACCACGCCGGCATCCCCAACCATAGCTTTATCGCAGAGAGAGCGAGAGGTTGAGAGCGATTAGAAGATATTACAGCAGCAAAAATATATACCGCTCAACTATTTTTTTTTAATGCACAGATTAGTTTCAAAAGTTGATATCTCGTGTAAAACTTTTGAGAGCTGATCTTGGAAAAAAAGGCAGCAAAGTTTGTATTCAGTAGCCTGAGCCTTACTTTACTGCATACAGTGTTGCATTACTCCCACCTATCAGGGCTACTCCCTATTGGTAAGCAAATCCAACCACAGACAAATAAGGAGTTTAAAAGTTTCATTTACCTCCAGCCAGGCTACAACTGTGGGGCCGTCCCATTGAGCGAAAGGTAAACCTTTTCTCCTGGCCTCCTCCAATAACTCGTGTCTGAGGAGGAGGACACAGAGGACCAAGAGGTAAATCGATGAACTGGTACAGCGTCATAAAAACACTTTTAATGAACCAACGCCACACACTCCAGTGTGCCTTCTTCCAGAGTCAACAAAGTAAACTATTAGCTACTTCTGGACTTTTATACATAATATTTTAGCTTTTTCCATATCTGATTAAGTATTGTACAGGCTAATTTAAAAGTGTTTTAAGTTTTTTAAGTTATCTTTTTTGGACCCATTTCAATAATCACTTTCCTAAATAATTCTCATAATAGTCCCACAAGCCACCTACAGGGGGAGCAGATGTATTTCCATCAGGTTTGTGTTTGTTGAAACCTTTGACTTGTTATGCAGAGACAGCAGACTGCAGGTACAAGTACAGGACCTGGACATTAGTAGCTACTTAGGACTGGTACTGCTGAGACTAAGCTTTTTCTCCGTTTTGCTTTAGCTGATGCAGTTTCTAAATTATGAAGCAAAGCATTTTCTTCCAAACTTTTCTCACATCTTCTGGGCTTTGCTCCACGTTGTTGTTCAGCAGCTGCTGAAGCGTAACCGTAACGCAGCTCATGACAATTTTGTTTCGCAGGTGTCGTCCTACTCAGCGCTGATTCAAATTACACCTTATCTTAGAGAAGCGGCAACCGTTCTTGGTTTTTTATTCAGTCACATTAGTGTTAGAGCGCCCAGTCCTCCCACACCTCAGCACGAGTCGTAAATGTAAAAACAGCTACCCTAAAAAAGCCTGAGGAGCCGACAAGCGTCAAAATTCATTTGTACGAGCCAGCACACAAACAAACAAACAAACAAACAAACACACAAAATGACTTCTCCTTCTATATTGTGAACACATTTCATGACAAAACAACCTCTGAATCAACAACCCAGTCCTTGAGTATGTTGTCAAAGATCTTGAGGAATGGAGAGAATGCATTTAGTCAGAGTGTGATATATGTAGAACATTCTCAGTCTAGTAGGGCTGTCACTTTAACAAAAAGGAAAACCAAACTGACGTGAGCAGCTAGATCCCTGAAGATATTCAGAGATCTAGAGAATCACGTGTCGTCCTATCAGAAGTCCTCCTGGCACTAAAACCGTCGACTTTTGACATGCTTTGCGTCCCTACATGAGTGAGCAGTCACATTCCTCCTTAGTGCACAGGCACAGAGGCATTATTGGTCAGTGAGCAACTCCACAGTGACACTTTGTCTGCCAAATAAAACTAGTTAGCTTACCTTGTTGACCCCCAAGCATCTGGCTGGCCTCTAACATGCCCACAGAGGTGCTGATAGTATGCTTATGATGGGGTATATCCTTTAAACTCTTAAATACAAATAATACCCAATGTGCTGGCAGAAAGGCTTCAGCCATTTGCGAAGGTTATTATAGTAGGTAAGCTAGAAATTACAGGTATTTGAACCCGTAACAGAGCACACTGTCGTCATATTTCTTGCTTGCTAACAGCAAATTTTTTTTTGTCAAAAATGCCTTTTTTTTGCTAATAATTATAACCAGTTTAGAAAGTTGAACCGCAATATTCATCTGCCAAATTGAAACCTAGACCACACGGAAAATGACAACCCCACAGGTGCAGTGAAAGAGCACTTCAGTACAGAGCAAACACAGGCCTACAGGTGACAAAAGAAATGTGTTCATCCAAACAACCACCAAGTACATTCACTGTCCCTTTGATGCAGTACATGGGCAAGATATATATATAAATATGTATATACAGCTCATGTGTTATGTTCAGGTCAAGTTCAAATGCATGGAGAAATACATCCACTGAACATAGCTGGGGGGGGAGAAGGGGAAGTAAGGAGACAGTTATGACCAAAGATCACATCCAACATTCCCATAACCAGAGACTGCAGCTGGTTACTTCACACAAAGAGAAAAGAGACACATATAAAGAGGAGAGGAAAACATTCCAGGTGTGGAAAAACTGGACCGCAGTTTTAACGGGTGGCACATTCTCTGTCCAGGCATGGATGCAGCTGCCATTGAACTGTAAGAAGGGGAGGGTAAGAAATGACGACAGATGACAATTATCTCATGGAAACAAAGAAAGCAACAGTGTTAACAGCCATGGAGGGGAAAGTAAAAGATACAGAGATAAGAGACGTCAGCGTTGGCACTGGTGTTTCAGAAGAAGGACAGAATGGTGAACAGGCAGGAGAGATGGAGGACAAGGCTGAGAGACAACAACCATAATCCAGGAGACCAGGTATTAGACATCCTCACAACTTACCCGCTTTGTTAGAGTCAAAGGGAGATGGGGGAGGGATGGGAGGATAAAGAGAGAGAGATCGACGGGGAGATAAAAGTACATAAGTGTTAATGACTCATTAGGCATTTGTACGGATTTATAAGCAAACACACACACACACACACCCACAGTGGAGACACAGTGTTTCCACATGAAGCGTCGGTGGACCACTCAAATCATCTCGCCTTCTACATTTCAGTCCTGACCACAGCCGTGCAGCAGAGGAAATGAGAAATGCACTGGACTGGGAAAAAACAAAGCAAGGCCCGTGCCCTTTGACCCCCACCCGTGCCCTTTGACCCCCACCCACTCAGGTGAGTGTACATTTACCTCCAGGCTCAAGAAACACCAACAATCAGACCAAAAAAATAAATAAAATTTAATGATAATGATGATGAAAATGTTAAGTGACATGAGAGAACTTTGACGACGATCAGAAATCATGACAATCCCGACAACTGCCTGACTAGTCATTTTGTCACTCACTGAAAATGTCAGTAGTAGTTCTGGCAAAAGCAGAAAGCTGAGTATTATATCTCTTGTGCAGGCACTGAGGCATTAATCATCAGGACACAAACCTGAGTTAAAAATCAATGCATTCCGAGGCCTGTAAGATGAGTTTAGGTCTCATATTTGTCTACGTATGGAGGACTGATAAACCTAGCCCTATCAAAAAACGCATTCATTTTATATAAAATGTCACCCATACTCTAGTGCAGTTTGATATCTTATCTCTCGTCCCAGGAGGACAATCTAGCTGCCAATTGCACCTAAGTGCAGGAGGACAATCTAGCTGCCAATTGCAGTGTGTGTGTGTTTACATAAGAGCAGGGACACATGGAGACCATTTTATCCTAACGGTATTAATAGCTAAAGATGCTGTGTTTGGTTGCGGTAGATGTGTGTTGTAGTAAGCAAGCAACATGGGCAGGCACATAGGCATTCATAGTTCACAGGCAGACTTTCTTTTTTTGCTTCCGTTGAAGTCTTGCAAGCAAAA